ATAATCAAAGACTGAATACTTTGCTCATGCAGCACATTGAGTTTGAACTTATAAACAAATATTCATAAAGATTGGGTCTCAAAAGTTCCTTGCTTTGCTTTTAAGTAATACACTTTAATAATTGTTCACATGTTGCCTTTATATCTTGTTGTAGCCATGGGAAATGGATCTGACAAACCCAGCCCACCTTCTCCCAGTAAGACACTCAAATTATTACAGAACATTGTTTAAACAAATGCAGATAAAGACAGAAATAACACATTCTTCATTTGTCTTAAAATTCCTTTAACAATTTGTTTGATTTTAAGTATCAAGGTTTAATAATGTTTCTTGTTCACGTGTTGCCTTTATATCTTGTTGTAGCCATGGGAAACAAACCTGATAAACCCCGCCCACCTTCTCCCAGTAAGACACTCAAATTATTACAGAACATTGTTTAAACATATGCAGATAACAACAGAAATAACAGATTCTTCATTTGTCTTAAAATTCCTTTAAATGTGACTCCTTACAACAACTTTACATTTTACTTGTCAGCTTTTGATGAACCATGGAGGAACATACAATGGGGGTGAGTGATTTCTTTACTGTTTTCTCGTGGTTCCTCTGATTTAATCATTTTTCAGAAACCAACACTGAGCACACTCATTTGTTGAAACTGCCTTTTGTTATGTTGTTTTGTGTTTCTTGTCAGACTCACTAACATGGTAGTTTAATGTCACCAGTGTCGATGGCAAAAGTGAAGCAACCACAAAATACCATATGTTTACACAAAACTGATTTAAACAAGTAAATGTAAAATGTAACCTTTTCTTTATTGAACAGTAACAAAGACAGAGACCTGCAGGTTGTGAAAAATTATCAGCCTCATAACGATGAGGTCCAACAGCTCAGAATTCTGCTTCATGGACCCTCTGGTTCTGGCAAGTCCAGCTTCATCAACTCTGTTGACAGTGTTTCACAAGGCAGAATCACTGGTCGGGCTTTGGCAGATGCAGTCTCTAACGACAGCTTCACCCTAAAAGTATGAATCACTTTTGAATGTGTTTTAATCAAGGTCATGTATTTTAAGCACTGTAAAACTTGAACAACTCTTGCATGCACCTGCAGTGACAACTGCAGTCACTAGGGGACTGAAGCTGTCTGAGGGGCAGGGCCAAAAAAATTAAAAGGTCACCAGCTGTGTTCAGTGGGCATCAGTGTGCAGAAAGTTTTCTAGCATGTAGCATGTATTACTTTTTGTACAGATCAGGCAGCAGCAGTGTTGCAACTAGTTGTGATGAAACTGAGCAAGATACAAAGTGCTATATGGCCATCACTCAATAGGTGGCACTGTTGTCCTTATAACTGCACTTTTCTGTTTTACAGTACAAAAGTTACAAAATCCAAAAAGGAGGACCAGGGACGTTTTACCCTTTTGCCTTCACTGACATCATGGGCCTTGATAGGGAAACCAATACGGGAGCAAATGTGGAAGACATCAAACTGGCCATGATGGGACACATTAAAGATGGATACACTGTAAAATATACTGAATTCATTAAACTCTGTTGGATATATTTCAGTAAATCAATCCAGCTTTGAGATCTGTTTAGCACTCACAATTTTTACAAAAATCATGAAGTAGAAACTATTTACATGCAAAGGTGATTTTTTAATTTAATTTAATTTCACATTCTTTTCCAGTTCAATCCTCTCTCTAAAATAACAGAGGATGATAATTACTACAACAAAGACCCCGCTCTGAAGGACCAAGTTCATGTTCTGGTTTATGTCTTCTCTGCTGAGACATCAAACATCCTGAGTGATGAATATGTGAGAAAGATGAGGGATGTCAGACTGGCAGCCAGAGACATGGGTAAGAGTTATAGGGTTAGTTATTGGGTTTCACAAGTTTCATCCAATAACCTGACAAACATTATCTTGATTAAACTGGATTCTGCTCTGTATTGGCAGGAATTCCCCAAGTGGCTATTCTCACCAAAATTGATGAAGCCTGTCCAGAGGTCAAAAAAGACATAAAGAACGTGTATAAGAGCAAGTACCTGAAGAAACAGCTAAGTTTCTCTTGGTGATTGACCTTGTAGAGAGTTGTTATTCAAGTTGGAATATAATTCTGTTTTACATTACATTACACAAAAATCTCCTTTGATCAGCTCTTTGCTGTCATTCCTTAAATGTTGAATGTTCATATTTAGATGGAGGAACTGAGTGCGTCGCTGGCTATTCCACTGTACTGCATCTTTCCTGTGAAGAACTACCACTCAGAGATCGACACAGACAATGACACTGATACACTGATACTGAGCGCACTGAGACGCATCATTAACTCAGGAGAAGACTTTGTCAACGACCAGTAGACCTCCATACTGCTGACAAATCTTACTTCACAGACAGACGTCACCTAATCACAGCGAGAAAAAAGTCAGTCTGCAACATAAAATGCATGCATGTGATACAATATCAGGCATTAAAAATATGTTTTAAGCTATGATTTAAAAACAGGTAATGTGCTAGCCAGCCTAATCCCCTCAGGCAGAGAATTCCAGAGCTTCGGGGCCTTGATGGCAAAGGCCCGGTCACCTTTAGTTACCAACCGCAATCTAGGGACGACTAGTTAGGGCAGGCTTGAGGATCTCAGGTCACGACTTGGAGCACAGGTAGTCAGAAGCTCAGCTGTATAACTCAGCACTCATGCTGAGCATTAAAAGTTAATAAAATGATCTTAAAATCAGTTCTGAAGTTAACAGGCGTTAACGTTGGGGTGATATGTGACGTATGATTTGTCCTAGTTAAAATACGAGCTGCAGCGTTCTGCACTAGTTGAAGCCGAGCTACTGAAGATTTCCTGAGGCATGTAAACAGTGAGTTCCAGTAGTCGCGAGAAAATACAAAAGCATGAATACGCTTTTGTAGGTCAGGAAAAGACAGTTGATTTTGATCATATTTCGTAGGTGAAAGTGGCAGGATTCAATGAGATTATTGACATGTGGTTCAAAGTTCAGTTGAGAATGAAAAGTGTAGCCTAAATCTCTTGCCGTAGATTTTATATTAGCTGCCAGAGCACCAATAAAGAGTTGCAATATCCTTGGTGATTGAAGCCAAAGATTCTTACTTGTGTCCATTAAAGTGCTCAGACAGCTGACATTATCTGGCTTAAAGGACAGCTAGCACAACCTAATACATATAGTCTCTGCTATTGGTTAGTCTTACCTTGCTGAATAAAGTATTAATAAGCTGTGTCTTACTCACTATGCATTTCAGTTTTTGCATCATCTATGCTAGTATGTTTTGTTGTTATAGTTGGTCATTTTTGGTGTTGTAGTCTCTCAGTAATCATGAATCCAGTGATTAGCAGATCAGAGAACATGTCTAGGTTAAAACCGGGCCAAGTTGGTTCAAAGGCGTAACATTTTAAGACTACTGATTATGAATGCTGTTGTTATGTGTATGTTGTTCCAACAGTATGTCTATGTCTGAAACTGCTTGATAATGACACATTGTGTTACAGTACTGCTGCTCAGCTGAAACCACAATAAATGACAGTACTGAAGTGCGTCACTAGTTTCCTTTGATTTCATTCCCTCTAGTCCATGAGTAGACTGTGTTGTAATGCAGCCCATTGAAGCTGATTAACACAGTATTATACAATATAATGTGATACAGCGATACTGCAATAACACTGAAATATCTAACATTATACAAAACTAAACTGAGGCATGAAGTAGTCCCTTATGGCAGTGGCTCCCAACCTGGGGGTCCTGTCCTCCACTAGGGGTCGCCAAAGATTCACGATACCTCATTGATTTTAAGGGGTGTAGGAAATCTTTTTAAAAGAATATACAGTAGGCATTTATCCCATCACTTCATGCATTTCTGTGAAGACAAATAAATGAAACTGTTCATTTTAAAGTTGATATATAAACTTAAATCTCACAGAATAAGAACACAGTGAAGACCTGAACACAATCATCTTCACAGAGCCTTCACTCTCTGCTGAACAGCCTCATCCTGCAGAAGAAAAATACGCAGTTGACACAATCAAAGAGCAAATAGAGCAGTGGCCAAGTGTCAGGGAGAAAATAACACTGGATTTGTCCAAAAAGACACCTGTTAAATATATATGTTTGTTTAAAAAGACAGAGAATCAAAGAAGAGGTTCCCAAAAACTATCAGGAAAACTCATCTCAAAATTCATGCACATTGCTTATTTTACACAAATGTCTGCTCACTATTTGTGCTATACTTTTACATTTTCTCAGCTGTTCTGCACTGAATATAAGATGTACATAAAATATACTACTTAGTCTGGTAAAATATGTCATTTTGTCCCACAGAAAGAAGGTTAGGGATCACTGCATTATGGTGACAAATGAATACGTGAAATAAAGTAAGAATTTCATTGCAATTGGAGATGCTAATTGATGAAAATGAAATGTATAAAAGGCTGCAACGACATTAAGGTTCAGGGTAAAGGTGCCCCATGAGCCTGCCATGTTTAAAGGAATCACTTGCAGTTACTCAAACCAAATGTGATTATTATTATTATTTTTTTTACACTCTCTGAATTCCCTCATCTCTTCACATAACCTCTCACTGAGTCGTTTTTTTAATTTCTATATTACAAAGCTTTAAAAATATTTCATTAATAACACTGTGCACAAAGTAATCTGTCAGTGCTGAGAGCCCTACGTTGTTGGCATGATGTGACGTCATCACGTGATCTAGTCAACAACTCAGCTGTTGTGATGGTGCCTTCAAGAACATCGGAAATGTCGGAATTTCAACGCCGCTTGGATGAAAACAACAAAGTGATTCCATATAACCTCCCAAGTGACGTCATGTACATGTTATTCTGCATAAACAATATTAATGCCTCACTAAATATGAGAAATTACATAGTTAGAATATGATTTGCAGGTGTAATTGTTTCTTAATGAGGTTAATGAGGCTTCCTGTAATTGTTTGGATGCTAAAATACCATAATATATAACTGTAAAATGTGTATTTTTTATTCCCACATGATATAAGTATATTTTCTGATATATTCTGGGATTTTAGGGGCTTCAGAGTGCTTCAGAGTAAGCTGTGTGAGTTCAGTTTTTCAAGAAAGCTGGGGAGTACAAGCTTTGGAAAGGCATTTGAAGGCAGCATGGGACAAGTGAGGGAAAAAGAGGAAGACATCCACGTAGCCTTTCTCGCATCGTAACAGTCCGGCCGTGTAATGACCTCAATGTCTACGTTTATTTGAAGAAACGCTGCTTTCAGTTAAGCGGATAACGGTGTTCATAGTGGCGGGGTACCGCGGGATAACCCACATTGGTCCAGTTTGCTGAACGGGAGAGGACTAAAAATGGAGCTGGAAGACGGAGTTGTGTACCAGGACGACCCGGGCACATCAGCGATGATGTCTGAGCGGGTATCGGGCCTGGCCAACTCCATCTACCGCGAGTTCGAGAGGCTCATCGGGAAATACGACGAGGACGTGGTGAAGGAGCTGATGCCGCTGGTCGTGGCCGTGCTGGAGAACTTGGACTCGGTGTTCGCGGAGAACCAGGAGCACGAAGTGGAGCTGGAGCTGCTGAAGGAGGACAACGAGCAGCTCATCACCCAGTACGAGCGGGAGAAAGCGCTGAGGAAACACGCAGAGGAGGTGAGTTGAATGGAGCTGGATAAAAACACGGCGCTGGGATGGTGGTCGGCGTCGTTATTGTGGAGGAATGGAGGCGACCTCAGGTGTTTAGTCCTCCCAGCATCCCTGTGAGGTGAATTAACCTATACACGTGGCCGGGCAGCATCCCGCCCGTCCTGCCGTGCTGCTCATTGGGGATGTAAACAAGGCAGTGTCATGGCTAACGTCAGGCTGAAATGGCCCTTTTTCTTTTAGCTTGTGACATAACACTGTGTCTCAAATCCAAAGATGGGATCTCTTACTGCCCCAACAAAGGCACCTTTCTAACAACACCATCACCTTTCCATCAAATCCATCTGTATCCATCAGCTCGCCTATTGCATCAGATAGTGAAGTCACGTCTGAGCCCTGTGAGACCCTGGCTGAGGAAACAGCAGGTGATGTGACTCAGCATTTTGGGGAATCACTATAACATAAGTGATAAAAACACACAGGGACATAAGAGGATGGAGACAGACAGGCATAACGTAATAATGTCACAAAGCATCCAACCACCTCTACTTAAACTACACCATATTATGATCATATTAATGTATCTACAGGGTCCATTCCTACTACCAACACCCTGCACAGCCAGCAGGTCATCAGCTTCACCCTTTAACCCCTGTGCACAACACATATCATCCCCCAAATAACCAGCTACTCACTAACCACTGTACAGCCAAACAGTTGTTAATATATATTCAAAGCCTTTCACTCTTGGCCCCGGAGACAGAGCTCACCAAACCTCTCATTCATTCTCAAAAACTGTTTGAAACAGCCTCCATCTTAATAGCGCTTTTCGAGGGACCCAAGGATGCTTCACATACATGGAGATATCTAACTATATCTATATGATGTATCACTCAGGCTGAGATAAGTAGAGGCTGACAGACTGACTTTGATTGATTTGTAAAAATGGTGAAGTGGCCCTTTAAAGTGACAACTCTGAAATCAAGTCAGCATCTGCTGCTGCGCAAAGTTCAAAATGCGGAACAATCAGCAACCAAATGGGTGCACTGTGTGACATAAGTGTTCGCTACATGCTGGCAGCAGGTTGTCAGCTCCACCTTTAAACCTCTGTGCAAAACATATATCATCCCCCAAATCTCCGCCAAACAGTCGTTTATATACATGCAAAGCCTGTCACTGTGCACCTAATGCCAGGAATTGCTCTTGACCTGCAAACAGACCTCACCAAAACTCACGTTAATTGTCAAAAACTGCCTTTTTCATGTTATGTTTCATAAATTTGGATGACAGAGCAAATAGATGCCATGCTGTTCAGGCAATGATCAAAAACTATGGTTTAAAGTCAGTATCTCTCACTCAGAAGGTTAATTCAGTGATTTACATTGATGCATCAGAGGCTGAGATGTCCTGACCTCAAGTCCCTAGTATGGT